AAAACGTGTCTAGAAAAATAATGAAAAACAGTTGATTATCTTGCCAATGGGGCGACAGAGGACAATCGACCTCGAAATTTTAAGGTACTAAGTGGCAAGCTTTGGAGTATAACACACAATATTGTCTTAATTTTGTACTTATCGGCCTAATAATTTAAAGAATTATATATCAGAAAATCATTTCTTAAGCGGTACCCTCGTCAAATCAGTAGAAATGCTTTAAATTGAATGAATTCTTACCTTGTTTACTTTTTTTTCCATTTCTCTCCGCTTCGTTAGTACCCAATTTCCGCTGGCGATGATACACAGTGATATGGTCTTGCTAATCATTTTTACTTTAAAAGTTTCTCTCTCCCTATAAAGTTTTAAAAAATGCCAAAAATTGGTAAAGGTTGCCATTTGAGGGCAATAACGCTTATAAGGATTCATCTAAAGATTTCAGTCATGTTTAATTTATTTGAAGATCGTGTATTACTGGTCATTTCGCTATTCAAAGTTTTTCCCTATATTTTACACTACACTCCTTTACGCCAAAGAAAATATGGTAAAAGGTTCCGCGGGGTCAGGTGTCTCGCCTGCAATTGCTGCTATCTGTTTAAAAGTGCTGTTGACTACCAAAAAAAAAAAGTCTATCAATAAAATAAAGAAAAAAGAAAAGAAGAAGAAAATAAATGAATATTTATCCTCAGATGCCATGTCTTAATCTGGAAAAAGCATGTGTCCAGTTTAATTCCATGAAGGTTTAACAAAGTTATTGATTAATTTAATCCCAGACTGTTTGAAAATGTCCACTGCAAATTTTGTTTTGAGTCTATGAAGGTTTGATAAAGTTATTGATATCTAAATCACTTCAACTCCATATTGCATCTGAAGGTTATGACCCAGTCATACCGAACTCGTTCTCACTACGCTCTGGAAAAAAATGTAGCCGAACAGGCACTGACCAAAATACTGACAAATATACTTGTTTGAGATGTGCCGGACTGTCCAAAGTCGACATTCTTGACATTGACTGAATCCGTCTTTGTTGCTGCCATTTGTGAAATTAAGTGTGTATAGTAATGTTTGTTGAACTTGTATACAATGTTGATAATCTGAGACATCAATTCAGAGTTTTCTGTACAGCGTCGACTACGGGACTATGTGCACAGATTGGTGTATAGTATCACCCTTTGAACCGTTAATAAGACAACTTCGAATATCAGGCCTCTCTTTGCCACATTACATGTTTTTTTGGTAAATCAGATTACCTACAACTCAGAAGCTTTTTGTATAGCCAAATTTTCTCTCCTTTAAGGGACGCTCTTATGCGGGGGGTATGGTCACAACTGACCAATGGTTTCCAAATGGAACATTATGTAAAAGGCCCCTTTTGCCCACAAGATTGGTCAAATGAAAGCTTGAAACCCCTAATAGAAATACGAAAATTTTTCAATTCATCACTTGTAACCATGGCAATTTCAAACATGGAAATACATTTTCTACCAATTATTTCAATTTCATGATGAATTTGCATCTGTAAATACAGTCAAACCTATTTAAACTGAACACCTTCAGGACTGAAGATGTTTTTTTGGGATGTATAAATACACATCCACGTTCATTTTTGTCGAGCCTTCGACTTTAGTCGAAAAAGTGAGACATAGCGATCCTACATTCCGTCGGCGTCGTCGTCGTCGTCGTCGTTGTCGTCGGCGGCGTCCACAAATATTCACTCTGTGGTTAAAGTTTTTAAAATTTTAATAACTTTCTTAAACTATCCTGGATTTCTACCAAACTTGGACAGAAGCTTGTTTATGATCATAAGATAGTATCCAGAAGTAAATTTTGTAAAAATAAAATTCCTGTTTTTTCCGTATTTTACTTGTAAATGGACTTAGTTTTTCTGCCGGGAAACAATCCATTCACTCTGTGGTTAAAGTTTTTAAAATTTTAATAACTTTCTTAAACTATCCTGGATTTCTACCAAACTTGGACAGAAGCTTGTTTATGATCATAAGATAGTATCCAGAAGTAAATTTGTTAAAAAAAAAATTTCCTTTTTTCCGTATTTTACTTATAAATGGACTTAGTTTTTCTGCCAGGAAACAATACATTCACTCTGTGGTTATAGTTTTTAAAATTTTAATAACTTTCTTAAACTGTCCTGGATTTGTATCAAACTTGGACAGAAGCTTGTTTATGATCAAAAGCTAGTATCTAGAAGGAAATTTTGTTAAAATTTGTACCTGTTTATCCATATTTTACTTATAAATGGACTTTGTTTTTCTTCCAGTTAACATTAAATACAGTTTGCAGTTAAAGTTTTTAAAACATTTATTAGATTCATAAAATATCCTGGATTTATACCAAACTTTGAAAGAAGCTTCTTACAATCAAAATATAGTATCTAAAGTAATATTTTTATAGATTTTTTTCCTCATTTTTGTTGAGCCTGCGATTAACAGCAAAAGTAGGCGAGACACTGGGTTCCGCGGAACCCTTACGAATTTTCTATATAGAGATTACTCTATCTATATATTAAATTATACATATTTATTAACAGGTTAACTCCTAACTATCCTACTGCCAGTCAATACTTTTATTTTGGAATTGCACAAGTCATGTGTTCTTTGACTGTCCATGACGTTATCTCTGATGCATGATTTTTTAATTATTTAATTGTTTTTGGCTTTTAACTAGCTTTCAGTATCTGCGAGTACTCTCAAATTGTACTTTCGTGTTAATTTGACCTGTTGATACAATTTGTAATGTATTTTTGTTATTTAATGTTTACTTATTCAGTGTGATATATAGTCTCACTATTTTTGATATATACCATCTTTGATAAGTGTTTAGTATGACGATAAATTTTCACTTTAGTTCTCGTACTAGGAACAACAAAATTATTTCCGTACTCCATGTATACCTTACAACAAAATTATTTTTATTTACCTATGTATGTTATTCTATTTGCTGGAATTATGTCCAAGATTATAATGGTCTTTCTGATATTGTTAACTGTTTTTGTTAATATGTCTTTTGATTGAGTTACGCCATTTCAATTGATATTTTATAGTGTGTCTTTCTATGTTGTGATGTTACACTATTGTTTCAGGTAGGGTGAAGGTTGGCACCTATTAAAACGTTTAAACCCACTGCATTTGTTTGCACCTGTCCTAAGTCAGGAACCTGATGTTCAGTGGTTGTCGTTTGTTGATGTGATTCATAAGTGTTTCTTGTTTTTTATATAGATTAGGCCATTGGTTTTCCTGTTTGAATGCTTTTACACTAGTCATTTTTGGGGCCCTTTATAGCTTGCTGTTCGGTGTGAGCCAAGGCTCCGTGTTGAAGGCCATACTTTGACCTACCGGTATAATGGTTTACTTTTACAAATTGTGACTTGGATGGAGAGTTGTCTCATTGGCACTCATACCACATCTTCTTATATCTATATATAGTTTGTTTTATGCAAGTAAAGAATATTCTCTGGATGTCCTGAAACAAGAATTATAGATTATCGATGTTTCTTCAAACGAGATGGTTTTTCTTGGCTACAACTTTCTCAAAGGGCCACAGTCATGAGATCAGATGTAACAGAGAAACATAGTCGAGTTTGTAGGATCATTTATGATCTATATTATATAGAAAATTATCATACAGAAAGATCATAAGGAAATTTGAGGAAATAGTGATAATTCAGTTTAGATGGGTTTTTGTTTTGTACAGGGTTCTGTTAAAACAGGTTTTGGTTTCGAACAATGTGGGTTCGGTTTAGACAGGTATTTTATGATCATTTGCCTTAAACTCCATCTTAATCTTATCAAAGATATGTACATGATGTATATGTATTAATTTATGTAAATGTTATTGACCTTCCTATTGACTTTAACAACATATACAAGACATAGTTTTAAAATAATATCAATCAAGTAATTCTTTCCCTCAGTATTGTTCTTTTGTATTTGTTTATTTGTTTAATATGTGTATTGTTATAATCTCATGTTGCCCCTTATGGGCCCTTTAATTTGGAATAAAGTATATTCTAATTTCTATTTTGTACACGGTTTAGTTCAGACAGGTTTAAATTTGTATGGGGTTCTGTTTTGACAGGCTTCGGTTTAGGTTTTGTACAGGGTTTGGTTTTGACAGGTTTAGGTTTTGTACAGTGTTCGGTTTAGACAAGTCTCATACAGGGTTACCGATTTTGTCCAGGTTAGACAGGTTTTGTACAGGGTTTGGTTTAGACAGGTTTTGTAAATAGTTTGTTTAGACAGGTTTTGTACAGGGTTTGGTTTAGACAGGTTATGTAAATAGTTTGTTTAGACAGGTTTAGTACAGGGTTTGGTTTAGACAGGTTATGTAAATAGTTTGTTTAGACAGGTTTTGTACAGGGTTTGGTTAAGACAGGTTATGTAAATAGTTTGTTTTGACAGGTTTTGTACAGGGTTTGGTTTAAACAGGCTTTGTACATAGTTTGATTAAAACTGGTTTTTGCTTTGGACAGGGTTCAGTTTAGACAGGTTTTGTAGAGTTCTCTATAGACAGGTTTTATACAGGGTTCCGTTTAGACAGGTTTTGTACAAGGTTCGATTTGGACAGGTTTTATACAGGGTTCCATTTAGACAGATTTTGTACAACGTTCGATTTGGACAGGTTTTGGTTTTGTACAGGGTTTGGTATAGACAGGAATCACTGTATGAAGCACAAAATTTTACAGAAATTTTGTTTAGGGATGAAAACATCCAATTTTGTTACACATATGTGCTTAATTCATTCCAATTGCAAATATGCTTCGAGGGAAACCGAAATTTTCACTTTCCTAAAAATTGTGTATCTATGATGGTATCATGGTTCAGATGCCTTAAAATGTTCTTAAAGTTCAATGACATTTCTATGCTTATCCCTTTTCCTTACTGCTAGTCTACTCAAATAATTCAGATATATCAAACCATCACACTGTTGCTCTTATAGAGGTGTATACTTTGAGTTTCCATAGGCCAAGTAAATCAATTCAAAAATATGCTGTTGTTTCATGTAATATTCAGTTATATATAAAATATGACAAAATAATTTACATAAATATATCTACTAATTATATACATAATTTTTGAGCATTTTAACCTAATATTTAAGCACTGAACTTACTTTTTACAAGATGAAAAAAATCTACATCATGATAATTCATTAAGTATCTTGCAAATTTTTTGTACATATAGTCAGTAGTCTAAGTAAAAATATTCTTTTACAAATAAAAAACGATATAAGTGCATCACTTGTGTATATAATGAATGCCTGATTACAATAAATACAACCTTTAAAATACATGTAGGATGACAACCAATGTAAAAACAAGCACCAACAAACAAAGTACAAACATCAATACACAGCAAAGCTTGTTGCCATTAATACCACCTAAATCAAAGCTTTTAAGTTTTAGATTCTCTTTGTTCTACAAATAAGATATGGAAAAACTTAAATGATAAAAGCATTTACCAATTATTTTTTGTCATTAAATAATATTACAATTATGACCTGTATTTAAAAAGAAATATATCCATTTTTAAAAATTCAATCATTTTGTGATATTATAATTATTCTATATGGCACTGAGCATTTTTTGCTTGATATAATATATTTTTCTAATGAAATTATACTTTTTCTAAATGATACAACTAATATGGATTTCAATGTAAGTTTGGCATCATTTGGAAGCTAGTTAAGAGACTTGGGCATAAAACAAAACACACAATGTGCATGTGTAACAAATCATTACTATATATGCACACAATGTACACGTATAACAAATCATTACTGCATATACACACAAACACATTGTAATATACAATTAAAAATTGTGATAATTAAAAATAGCATGAAAGAAAAAGTCTACTGATTATATATATTATAAAGCTTAATTTTACACTATTTTTACATGGTTAACAACGTTCAGTCTGGCAGTACAACAAAATGCTTCTTTGTAATCTTATTTGGAATGCTTTGATATAAGAATTTCTTTATTGTTAACTATGTTTACTTGAAATATATTAAAATGAAGAATAAAAATACAGCAAAACTGAAAGAAATGACCCAATTCACCTAAAAGATTTTTTGGCACATTTCAGTAACCAAGATGAATGACATAAGCAAATAAATCTTGAGACAGTCACCCAACAACACAAGATAACCAGCCAGTCATCTTCAGATCAACATATTGTTTTATCCTATTAAGTCGATTACTCCCAATTAAACAAAATTGTGGTTCTTTCAAACATTATAAACAAACATATAACATAGAGATATGTCTCACTTGCTTTGCACAAAAATAAATGTTGATGGACGAAATTCTGGTGAATCTTTTACTTCCATACATATCACAATGCAGAACTAAGCATCAAAATGGCATCCATAGAGACCGTTACCATGGTAACAACCAGTACAACTGTGATATCTAAGTATGTTTGACTGGACATTTACGCATGTGAGATATCCTCATAAAACCCTGTCTTCTACAAAAATCTATTTATGGAACAATAATAACATGAATTAAGATCATCAGAATGAGAATTGTGTTAAACAGTCAAGCATAACTTACCAAATAGGAACAGTTCCTCAAATGAGTAATCACTCAAGCTTGAGACATTTTCCAAGGTTAAAAAAGAAAATGTTTCCGTTTTTTCTCTCGGTTAAAATGGTATATATTTTCATCAAAATTGAAATACATTAAAGCTACAATCCCATTAAATTTATCAAAAGTAAAACTTTTTAAGGCATCAAGTTTCATTTTGTATAAATTATTGCTTTATCACCAAAAGACTACAATAAGAAATCAATTTTAGGTCAATACTACTTCAGTATCCCTAATTTGACAGATTAAGCTGTCTCCCTATTTCTTAGTAATAACTTATATGTTAAGCGATCATCACATTAAAAAGTCTCAAATAAAATAAAAAGTAAACAATAAGTAGAGAGGTTACAAACCCTTTCAACATATTATGCAATTGTCTAGTGTTTGGTGGATAAAACACTTTCCTAAGAAAATATTTTAAAAGTTCTAAATGCAATTTTTATTTTAAAGGGACAGCACTATGCTTGTATTATACATTTATCTTTAAAAAGGACCATAAGTACATTTTTTATAAAACAACATATCCATTTAATACATACCTCACATAAACAAGAAATCTTATATATTTGTTTTAACAACTCGTTTTAAACTTATTAGTTTTCTAAGAAAAATAGCTGCCTTTATGAAAATTAAACTTCGAAAAACTTCTCTGTTGTTAGATTTCCATTCAAGGAAGATAACCCTGGTTACCTTTTGTTTACTTTATAAACAAAGAAACAACATTTCTAAAAAGGGCCGATTTTCTTCAGTCACAATCCAATGTATTCTATATATATTGCAGCTCCTTGTTTTCAGTAGAACATTTAAAAAATTTCAAGTATCAAAATCTCTTTCCAGGCATTGTCAATTTGACAGTCTTTTTTTCCATTAGTTCAAATGTATTCAGACTTATAACAAGAATATGTTTCTTAACTGTTTTTAATTTATTTGCAGAAATATTTCAAAGCCTTAGGCTTTCTCTACTTTTTAGACATATTTTTTCTTCCCTATTTTATTCTTCAAGCATTACTTTAGTTCTCCTTTCGACTGATTTTATTAATCAAATCTAATTTAACAAGATTGTACTTACTTATTACAGTTATGCAATTATCCAATACCCTTTGTTTAATTATCTGACAATTATATTACCCTCTACCCATACAATTTGTGTTCTTTAAAAGGCAACTATTAGAAGCTTTAAATAATATGAACAAATAATGTCATTAAGGTCGTTTTCTTTGTTAAAATCTGTTTTTAATGTTCTTCTGACTCCTTACTATGAGCTGTATAAGTAGTAAAGACAAAGCGTTACAGTGATTACTTTCAGAAGACCAAAAGTGAAATAATAATGCAAAATCCAGTTCCCTTTTAAAATGAGATTCTCAACTTCTTTAAAAAAATAATGTGGTTAAAATCACATAACTTTTGAAATATTTATTACCTCCTTTTTAATATGACAAAGATAGATTTAATTTGATCATATTTGTCAGAAAAACATGTCCTTCATGACCTCTGTGTAAGTATAAACACCATAATACGTTGAAAAATAAAATAACCAATAAACAAAATTTGTGAGCTTCATATCATTGTGCATTATTTTATATCATTAAAATAACAAATATCATAGCTAACCTACTTAATTCTTAGGAGAAGGCATGATAAGGCCATTTTTTTTAGGGCCCTTGAAAAATGAAAATGAAAATAAATGATAATTCTATCCAATGACATCCTACGATTCACAAGTCTGTCTGGTATTAGTGTTTATAGTCGGAGAATTTTGTCTTATATATTTGCTCAGGCTTTCAAATTTTTGAATTTAATATGAAACTGCTAAAACTGACACAATAGCCTCATTTAAATTAAAGATCTTGTTATTTATATCTAGTAATAATCAACAGTCTTATATGAGAAAAATTTGTTGCTACAATTTGTCATAGACAAAGATCTTGATGCGAGTAGAATATCTTTTCAGGTAAGCCCAATACTTAAATTTTATGCAAAACAATGTGTAAAATAGCAATTTATGTCAAATATACCAGTTTTGAAAGTTTCATGACATCACAAGACATTTCTTTCTAAGTGACCAGACTAAATCCTCCTATTTTTAAAGTGTTGGAAGCCAAATAATGAATCTTATCATACCTCCACATCGGTCAGAAAATAAAATCATTTGGGAAACAGTAAAAATTTCTAATAAAAAATTACAGTTTGAAAAATTGAAAATCTGCATAACAATATTTGTTTTTGTATGTGATTCACTAACAATATGATAAAATGGATTTACATGATCAACAATAACTAAAATGGTGGCATTCCAAATGTAGGCGGATGTCCATGGCTAAAAGGTGTAGCTGACGAGTTCATGCCTTGTGTCATTTGTCGTGTGTCAAAGCCGTGATGATTATGTCCCAAGATACTGTTTATGCTCATTGCATTTGGGAGTGATGGATGGTGAGATCTATTATGTGGGTGGAAGAGTGAACTCCCTTGGTGATGCTGAAGAGAGTTAGAATCCATGATCTGATTTCCATGAAATTTGATTGGAGAAATGTTTATAGGTGAATCACTTTGCGATGTATCCGGAAAAATATTACTAAAATTAAAGTTTGGCATATGTGGAGTGACGGTCACACCACCTGAATGCGGAGTCAAAGATGGGGCATTAGACATGCTTGGATGCATACTTCCAAATCCTGACTGAAAGTTCAATCCCAAACCATTTTGTCCTCTAGATGGTGGAAATATTGAATTGAATGGTCCTCCTAAATCTGAATTTTTGTTCATTGCAGATGCAGAATTTGATAATGGTCTAGAACTATGTCCTAAAAAGTTTCCAGAAAACATATGTGCATCATTTTGTACATTTCTTGATGGTGGTGACAATGCTTGAGGAGGAAGTCCTAAGAACGGTGTCATCCTATTTGGGTCAAATAATGGATAATGCATTTCATTCATCTCATAAGCAGGCTGTTTTGTTCTCTTTTGAGAAGGTTTAGACTTTTTACTGTTACCACTACTAGCAGTTGGTGGTCTTTGAGATTTAGGCATTGTTTGTTGTGGATGGACAGCCTGTGGAGGTGTGTGACGATTCGTCACTGGTGGTGTCGGTCCAGAGCCTGGCGATGGACCACTCATTGCCCTTGCAGACTGATTTGTATTCTGCTTTGAATTTGTAGTCATTGCATTTGCAGATTTTCTTCCATCACTACTAGGCGGTGTGTGGCTTAATGGCTGGGTTCCACCAGAGCTATTATGCGATGAATAAGGCATTGAATTTGATTCATATCTATTGTAGCTTTGAGCAGACGATGACGGATTATAGACTTGAGATTGTGCAGGAGGAAACGGAGGTTCATATGCATTCCTTGTGCCCATATTCTGACGACCATTATCGACCATCAGAGGAGGATGGTGTAATGGTGGTGTGTTAAGGGGATTCGCAGAGAAAAATGGCTGCATATTATTAGGAACAGCCCTTTCCACTGTATTCATATTTCTATTCATGTCTGAATGCTGTTTAGGTGGCACATTATGATTCTGGCTCAAATCTTGAATTTGTTTTTGAGTATTTCTAATTTGATCAGATTGAGATTTGTTCACAATAGGAGGTGTTGTAGCTGTTATGTTCTGAAATACAGGTGTACGTTCACGGGGAAGTTCCCTAGGCTGTTCTCGCAATGAACAGCTTTCACGGTTGACATCACCTGCACCATAAGGAAAAGGCACATTGTTCTGGCTTTGCATCGGAGGTATCCGATCGTGATTTGATCTCTGCTGTTGTTGTGACTGAACAGAGTTTCGATTCATTTGTGAGTTCATATTTCTTGACAAATCCATTTCAAAACTTGTAAGATTCATACCATGATATGGTTTAGACGAGGAAGATCCTGGAGAATGGTGATGTCCAGATTGATACACTGGAAACGGGCTACTCTGTGATGATGAGTGTGAGGTCTGTGTTTGGTGGGATGACGGAATATGTGATGATGGGGCACTAGACTGAGTTACAGTCGATTTCACAGAAGATAAAGTAAAAGTGAACGAACTTGTTACAGCAGTTGCAGATGAACATGTTGACATAATTGGCGACATGTTCAAACTGTCAATAAAAGATCCCGATGGTGCAGTGGTGGATAAATTCAGACCTATACTAGCAAAGTTAAAACCATCTGGACTGGCTTCACGATATGAAGAATGACTCGGGCCATATTTTATAGTGTTAGGTCTATCATTTACCTCACTACGACTGTTTCTAGTATTTGTTGTACTATAAGATACTGGTACACTTGATGATGTTGTTTTACTTTGTACTGTGCTGACTTTATCATTGTATTTACTTACGGACGATGATATCAGATCATTTCGACTTGACTGAACGAAATTATCAGCAGAGTAAATTGATTTAGTTTTTGAGCTATCACTTGATTTTTTATTCACTTCCATTGAAGCCTGTGGAGCACCCGATGGTAATTTGTCTGTAGCACTATAATTACTAGATCGTTCAGATTGTTTACTCTGTGAAAACAGCAAAGACTCTTGTTTTTCTTTTGATGATAAACTACTTAATCCAGTCTCAGAAGGTATTAAGGAGGTTGAAGTTAATTTTTCACTTTCACTTATTAGCACTGATAAATCTTGTGATGTGGAAGGAGTACTTGTAGTGCATGATGTAGTAGTCACCATAGAAAGTGGTGATGCAGATGATACCGTTACTGGTGAAATCACAGAAATAGATGAAGTTGTAACAGTAGTCTGGTTACGAGGCTTTGGTGAAACAATGTGTGGCGAAAGAGAGTTTGTAGAAAAGCCTAATATACTACTCATTGCAGTGTCAATATCAGTAGAATCATTTCCTGTTGATATGTCTAATGGCATAATATCTGAATGTGTCAGCAGTTCTGAATTTGAGTTTTGCACAGAATTTGTCTGATTTTCAGTGGGAGTGGCAAAACCATTTGTCACTTCTAAATTAGGATAATCCATTCTTTTGTCTGAGGTAAATGAAGTATCTATGTCCTGTTTGGAATTTTTAGATAAATCAGTTTTCGATGATTCTATCTTTTTCTCAGGGGAAACAGAATTCTCATCCTTTTGTTTGTCAGCATCCAAATTAATCTGAAGATCATCACTAGCTGGAGATAACAATGAATCATCCATTTTAACCTCTTTTGGTTTTTTCTTATCGTTAGATTTTTTACCACTTTTTTCTTTCTTAGTTTCACCCCCTTTTGTTGTAGCCGACGTATTCCGCAAAGGATGTAAACCAAAAAGAGGCTGGGAGAAATCTTCAACCATCTCTTCCTCCTCCTCCTCAAAATCGTAAACAGACTTTTTACTTGTCTTTGCCACCGGTTCTTTTTCAGGCCCACTCGCAATCTTAGATTTTGTTGGTGTGTGTTTGCGTTTCTTCGACACTGGTTCAATATCATTAGTATCAGACTTTGTCTTTTTACTTTTTGATTTTTTGCTTGGTGGTGGTGATGCTAATCCTTCCACCTGATCAAGTACAGAAGACAGATCATTTTCAGAAAAGATTATTTCTTCTGGTAAATCTTTTGATTCAACAACGATATCTTCTTGTTGTTTTCCTTTACGACCACTTGATGCTTTTCTATTTTTAGGTTTAGCTTCAGGTTCCGATTCTTTTGTCATTTCTGGCTCAGATTTTTTACTTTTCTTTGCCTTCTTTGATGTTTGTTCAATACTTGGTTGCTCTTCAATTTTTGCCTTATTTTCACTGACTAAGAGAGAGTTTTTTGCTTCTTCGTTGATTATATTCATTACATTCTCATCGACAATTTTACAAACTGCTTTTTCTTTTTCGGCTTTATTTTGATCGTCAACTTGTTTAATTTGATCCTCTATAAGTTTAGCTACCTCATCCTGCTGAATCTCTGTCAAATTTTTAGCAATCTCCGTCCCTTTCTGGGGAGAGCGCTTTGTTTCATCATCTGGCTCTGCTGCACTCGTGTCAATTTGAAGGGGATTATCTTCATTAGCAGGATTATAAAAATTAACCGGAGATATTTCCGATGAAAAGATAGACTGAGCAGCCTTTGCTAAAATGTCCGTGGTACTTTCTGGTTCTGATTTCTTAGGCTTCACTTTTGACTTGTTAACAGATGTCTTTTTCAATTCAGCAGTTTGAGTTTCAACATTTGAATCTTCTACATTAGGTCCGTTTGCAGAAGGTTTTGGACAAAGTACTCTTTTCTTTGATTTCTTTGCCCCACTAGGGGGTGTTGCCTGTTGTGGAGCAGGAGCTTGAGGGACGGCAGCAGGAGCTGGTTGTTGGGTCTGAACGGTACCAAGTACCTGCATTGTTGTAGGATCAACCAATATACTTGTTGGTTGACCATTACAAGACATATTGATGATAATCGGAGCATTACCCGATAACGTCTGAGGATGGTTTGGTTGTGATACTACTGTGGTATTGGCAGGCTTTGGTAGCTGCATTGGTGCACTTATTTGTGATGAACATGTAGATGCAGGAACCATTACATTGTTCTGAGGTTGTGGCAACATGCCATTCTGTGCCTGTATCATTTGTTCTACAGTTGTATTGACCTTGTTCATGACGGAATCCTGAAAAGATGAATCCACTGTCTTATTGTGATTTGGTACAGCTGATTGTGACATAGTTGATGTAGTTATGGAAGACTGATTAGCCATGGAGATTTGTGGCCTTGGAGACGACTGGCTGCTGACAGAGTTTGTTGTCATTAGTAGTCCTAATGATTGTTGTTGCATGTCCTGTCCAGCTGGGGGTTGGTTCTGTTGAATTATCTGAAATTAAATTAAATGAGAAATATGAATCTGTAATTCAGCAATTAATTAATGCAGACTGCTATTTTTTTTATCATATTCATTCAAAATCCCCAATCTCTATGAAAGGTAAAAAAAAATTTTGCATTTTTAAATTTGAGTCTTGTCACAGATGAGAATTGTCTCCTACACATGTACCCTTTCATTTAAATATATCATCAATAGATAAGTTTCACTATGACGTAATTTGATTGTGAGTTATTTCTCTTGGGAGATAAATCGTTGATTTTCATATTTGAATAACCGAATTGAAACATGCAGAATAAAGAAGTCTGGTAAGAGATTCTTACTAGGTCGTAGTGATGAATAAAGCACAGCTAAAAGAAATAAAATTTGTATAAAAACAACTTTTTCTAAAGTCTGGCGGTCAGTATAACAAGTTGAAATTTGGCTGATTTATGAAGGAATTTCTGCACATAGACCTCCAACATGACGACAAAAGGGAAGTAACTCTTGCTCAAATTGTTTCAATCAAAACCTATCTATATTAAACATCATGCAATGTTTTTAACACAAGTTTTGGAAAGTGAGATAATAAATGTATGTTAAAACTTTTCTATGTTCCTTTCCATTACTTTTTATATATTAGCTTGTTAAGTTGTATTCATGTCATCTTTTCAATATAAGCATCACATGTACATAAACAATTTTATGCAAGTTTTTCTCAATCCACAAAAATAAATGAATCCACAGTATGCTACTTTCATTGTGACTTTCTGCAATTCTAAGAGCAATTCATGGTGGCGTAAAAGAAACATCAATCAATGAATCAAGGAAAGACATTGAGATTTTGAAAATTTAAATAAGATTTACGTTTCAAATATCATCATAGTGTGCAAATATCTTTGTTTGATTGCTTGATATACCTACTTTACGGAAAAACTATTTTTAATTGTATCACTTTTGCCATAGTAGAATATAACGAATTGTGAACTTTCTAAAAGTCTGTACGGTCATCCTAAAACTGGCTTTTGTGCATCTTCATGTACCATGTCATCAGGAACATATTTGTATATAATAAAAGAAGATATATATGAAGTAGGATGGCAAAATATAAACTACTAGGATAAGTTATTTGTATTTATAGTATTGTACACAGATAGTTGACTTTGAAACTTTTTTAAAACATTTTCCATTCAGTTTGATTCATTTATTTAGGAGAGGTTTTATAACCATCTCGTTTTAGTATTTTCAGATAAGACTAGGTACACAAATTGAAAGACCAAAAGGGCTGTTTTTAAAATTGTTCCCTTTCCCAAATCAGCCCTCCATTTATCCACCAGACCAGTAGTTAAGATTTTTTTTTTTAAATCTTAAAAAAATTGGAGGATACTGAAACTGTAGATACCAACAACAAAAATCATGAAAAAAAAAGATAGAGACAAAAATGGGAAATTTGACAGATATTTTTTTTTATTTGGAAATGGTCCAGGGGAAATATTGCCTCTGTATTTGTTTAACATTCCATTCCCTGCCAAATAATTTTGACAAAATGCATGTTTTGAAGTTTTGTATAATGATGGCAGTAAAGTCTGGAACAGATATATGTTTTTTTTAGTTTTTGTGAAAGTTCATACTGCTCAAGCTCTAACAAACTTGTTGAGACATTGTAACTTGAATGGTTTCTACTTATTGGTGTTGAAACCAACCTCATTTGGTGAAATTATTAATAGACTGACATGTCAGCCTATGTAAACATGCTGCCACATATACCTACCTGCATTGGTGCAGATGTAATTGGCTGAGGTGGTCTCCACTGATTGGTCTGAAGTAGTTGATTCTGACCAGTACTTAACATTTGTGGATTTGTGACAACAGGTACAATTTGACCATTTGGTAAAATTAGAGCTTGTGGTAACTGGTTCTGACCGGCCATATTATTGACATTGATTAAGTTTCCAGCCTGGCTGACCGGTAGAATTAGGCCTTGCTGGTTCATTGTAGCACCAATTTGTCCTTGTAATAATTGTTGATTCATCGGAAACTGTTGTTGAATGAGACCACCAGCCATATTCATTTGATTTTGTGAAGTTAAACCAGCCAGCTGGTTTTGTAATGCTATGTTCATTTGTTGTTGTTGGTTAAAAGCTTGATCCATTGCCGGTTCAGTCTTTGTCACTTTGTTCTGCATCATAGGATCCATTGGTACATTTGCAATACACGGAATACCTTGCTCGTTAATAAACACTATCTGTTGTTGTTGTTGTTGTTGTTGTATAAGAGGATTATTAAATCCTTGCTGATTTTGAAACATATTTCCAGGGAAATTTTGTTGTCCATTTACAAATGGCATTAATCCAGTCGAATTATTCTGCATCATTTGACCTGTGGCCATTATGGGATTGCTAGTATTTATAGACTGTGTTGTGACTGTGGTAACAGAACTACTTTGTGACGCATTACTTAATGACACAGACTGACTAGTCACAACAGCTGTAGATCCACTAACGAGATTCTGTGATGCCACTGACGCTAATGTTTGTAATGCAGAGTCCGATGAATGATGTGTAACCAAATCTTCTATTGTTCCAGTCTGAGAATTACTACTTGGGGTTATACCCGATTCCTGCATTGCTCCTTGCAAAAGATCCCCTCCAGACTGGTCCTTGTCACCAGTCTGACCAGGTAATGTCATTTGACCGGGTATAAATGTCTGAGGGTACCCTGCTTGATTAGGAATCATCATTTGATTGTTCATCATCTGCATCTGATTCATTAACATATTCTGATTATTCATTTGCATAATATTAGGGGCAGTTAACTCTTCTTGTTGTTTTTTCATGTTTTCTAATTGTTGACTAATTGTGTTACGTTTTCTATTTTTGTTTGATTTTTGTTTTGGATCTAGGTCCTGATTGTTGATGTTAATTGCTGACAAAACAGGACTGACATTCTTCTGGGCCCATATACCAGGAGTCATGTCTGTGGATAGACCTTAAATAAAGAACAGTCATTTTTATTTATTGTATATAGTTGACGAAAAGAAAATTCACAGAATGTAAATAAAAATAAAATCATGAAAATGTGTACACAGGATTTCAATTCGATAATTTTTTTTATTGATTTGGCTTCCCATACATTTTTTTTTTGTATGGGTTCCCAATCTTTAGTCTATAGCATATCTGATAAAGAACATGTTATATACTTACTGTAATCTGTATCCTAATTAAATAAGAAGAAACAGGTATACCACAATAGAACCTATCAATTTTCTCATATTTGCAAATTCAAAGTATGCACACAACAATTTGTGCACTTTTCTGGCAATCTCACAACATTTTGATTTTAATTGGTAAACTAACATGTAAGAGCAAAGCTTACTCAAATGTTCTAGGTAGATATCAAATCACGTTTTAATATAAGCACTATGAATATTCTTATTTTGACAGCAATTTTTGAAAATAACAGCAGACAAATAATTTTAAACATCAGGAATCAATTTGGAATAGCATATCTATCTTAGTTCAAATCCTATTAAAAAAAATGTTTCTCACAATTTGTGAAATTGGAAGTTTTTACCACAATTTATTCCCCAAATTTCACCCAAAAAATAATATGCACAACTGTACACAATTATGTTAAAAATCGATTTCTCATATCTTTTTTTCATAGTTTTTCTCAAAAATATGTGATAAACAAAAAATCTGAGTTTAACAAAAACTAATAGTTAACCAAAAAATTCATCAATGTCAAGCTGCTAACCAAATATGAAGTCATTCTGTTCAGATGTACTTAAATAAAGTATGATGAAAAATTTAAAGTTCATTCAACATATTGAAAAATCTTAAGTATCCGCAAACAAGAAGTGGGTGTCTGACAGATTTGAAAAGTGCTTATATGTTACAACTTATCACTGTCAACTTGATTACTAAATATAAATTCATTCTGTTCAGTGGTACCTGAGAAAAGTGTGAGGGAAATGTTTATTTGACAAAGGGACGGACAGACTGATAAGGTGAATGCAATATAGCCCCTACTTTTAGAAAAGGGTGTAATAAGTGATTATTGTGCTTGCCTTTTGAGGAAAGTTGGAAAAGTAGTATTCACTTGAGCTGAACTGTAATATGACATTTTTTTTTACATATATAAATAGGCTCTTGTTTATTTTGCTATTATTCACCAGACAAAAATTGTTTAATTTGAAATAAGGCCTCTACTATTAGCGTTTCAATTATCATAATTATTACAAACAAGAATGTGTCCATAGTACACGGATGCCCCACCCACACTATCATTTTCTATGTTCAGTGGACGTGAAATTGGGGTCAAAACTCTAATTTGGCATTAAAATTAGAAAGATCATATCATAAGGAACATGAGTACTAAGTTTCAAGTTGATCGGACTTCAACTTCATCAAAAACTATCTTGACCAAAAACTTAAACCTGAAGTGGGACAGACAGACGGATGATGAACAAACGAACGTACCAACAGATCGAAAAACATAATGCCCCTAGGTGGGGCATAAAAACATGCAAGTTAAAAAAAATTCCGGATTATGTAAGTTTTTCATACTAATGGTCCGATTTCAAAATGTCAATAAAATGCTTCCCTGGGGCGCAGCTTGATACGACCGCAGAGGTCGAACCCTGAACAGTTGGGGCAAGTATGGACACAACATTCAAGCTTGATACAGCACTGAATTTGGATTGTAATTAAATATTTGACACAGCATAGGTTTCTGACACAGAATGAATGTGGTCTAAGAACTTAAAAATTTGTAATTTACCTATTCAAACCATATCATTATTATTTCCTTTTATATAGAAATCAGAAATAACCAATTTAAAATGGAAAATGTTACCGGTAAAGAAAAAAAATGAAAAAAAAATCCCCCCCAAAATTTTTTGAACCCCCTTATGATTCATCACCCCAAAACTCAATCCCAGCCTTCCCTTTGTGGTATGGTACCTTGCAGTACAATTTCAGAGAGATCCATACACTTGAACACAAGTTATTGTCTGGAAACTAGAAAAATGCTTATTTTTGGCCCCTTTTTGGCCCCTTATTCCTAAAATTTGGAGGCAATTACCCCCAAAATCAATCCTAGCATTCCCTTTGTGATATGGAACCTTGTGATACAATGTCAGAGAGATCCATAGACTTACACACAAGTTATTGTCATGAAACTAGAAAAATGCTTGTTTTTTGCCCCTAATTCCTTAAATTTGTAAGCAATTACCCCCAAAATCAATCCCAGCATTCCCTTTGTGATATGGAACCTTGTGGTACAATGTCAGAGAGATCCATACACTTACACACAAGTTATGTCTGGAAGTTACAAAAATGCTTATTTTTGGCCCCTTTTTGGCCCCTAATTCCTTAACTGTTGGTACCATAACCCCCAAAATCAATCCCCACCTTCCTTTTGTGGTATTAAAGCTTATGGTAAAATTTCATTGAGATCCATTCACTTAAACTAAAGTTAGAGTGCGAAAACTAATGTGTCTTCAGACGACGACGCCAACGTCATACCAATATACGACCACAAATTTTTTTTTGCGGTTGTATAAAAAATAATATTTTTGTGTGTCTGTTTTTCTGGAATGGTGGTTTATTTAGAAATTATTAAAAAAAGACATCTAAAACAAACATGGATGGGCCATTATAAAAATGTTCATCATATCCTCACCCCAAATCTTTGCTTTTAACTGACTACTAACCTGCATTTCTAATGATATCAACGTATCTATCCCTTTCTAACTTGGTCTTTTCTATATCTGTTTTCAATCTTTGAATTTCCAATCCTATAAGTATAATATAAAGATACTGTAAGGAAGATAAACACTGTTAAACTCAGATACAAATTGCACATCTATATGCCCCATCTTATAATTGTCTCTTGATTTTTATAGATTATCATGTTTGTTTTTCATTTGTAAACCTTAAATGCATACTCTTGATAAAAGCAAGTTTTCAATTCAGGAGGAGATAATCAAACTAAAATTAGTGCAAACCAACCAAATGAAACAGTATTCTGCAAAAGAGGGAGAAAACAAGAACAGGTATAGAAACCATTATGTTCAATAAATAAAATTTGCTGATCTGAACAGTGTTCCCCCGAAAAAAATTTGCATATTTTCACTTCAGATTGTGCTTTCTCAAATTATCAGTTCACAGAAATATGTCAGATATTCTATTGATGTTTACATTTTCTTTTCAACAATATGAAAATTTAGGGGGTCAAATAACATTTAATGAATGACAATCTCATTACGAATGATTCATATGTTTGTTAATATGAGATAACAACATACATTCACCAGATTTTGAATTAACACCAAGTTGACGAGAATATTATATAGAAATCTACATGTAATACATGTATTAGTGTGTTTGGAAAAATGCATATAAATGTAAGTCTTTCTTTTTACAGCATTAACCAAATTGTGCTTATCAAATTTCTTGCGGGTAATCAATCAAATGTTAATATCAGTCAGAACTGTTTAAAAAATGTCATGTGCTAACACCAAATTACTCAAGTGGAACTCTAATAGAAGGCAGTGACGATTTGTCTGAAGATGTTAATTTAGAGCTGTTTGAGTGCTTATTTCGATATATTAAATCTTCAAATCGGTTTTCTTGATAGACCAATAACTTATTTGTATTATCTTTTTTCCTTGTAATCAAACATATTAGGTAAGAAACACATACCGTAGAAAGGCTTGTATAGTCCGCGGTTTTATTCTCCAAAATTGGACCTTCCAGACGGGGTGCGGACTATAGAGTACAATAAGCAAGAAATAAGAGAAAAATTTCAATTTCGCGGGCGAGGTGGTTTGTTTACGTTCCGCCATCTTTGTTATTTATATTGTAGAGGGCGCTCTTATCATTTTTCAAACTAATAATTTTAACTCATCCATATTAATAAGTTATTTCTATTCAATATCAAATTAATACTGATAAATATAAAAACTAAACCTTTCATAACAAATTTCTCGTTTCTTTTCAATGCATTGGTTGAAATAAACTGGTATCTGCTTGATTGAAACGATACAAACATAGTGGAAAGACAACCGTAATCCAGCTTAGAATTTGTAAACTACAAAACGTAATCGGTCATTGTTCGTTCCGTTTTGGTGTTTCATACTGACTAATATGGTTTGTATTAGCTTAAGACCCTTCAAACATTAATGTGATAGATATGTTAAAGACTGTTTTACAAAAGGATGGAACTGTTTTACTTTCAAAGTCGTATTATAGTGATATCTGTTATGTACGGATTTCGACTCTCACCGGTTAATTTCTTCTTTTACACGTGCTTTTTAAACTTCCTGTTTAAACATACACAAGTTTCTAAATTGTTTTTTAAGTGAATTAAACTTATTTTAACAATCATGAAGCGTTCTAGAATCATTTACAAGCAGTTTCAGCTTCTGTTTGATGATGGAAAACAGGGTTTTCCAAGAAAATACAGCAAACGACCGCACAGGATTTGAAATTACCGGAGTTTCATTAGACCTTTTCTAACAGTTACAAAAAGTTTTTTTACCTAAAATTTCGTGGGGAGAAGGGGGTGCGGACTATGTACCACTGCGAACTATACAAGCCTTTCTACGGTACATACACTTTAAATATATATTTTTTATTTATTTTTATTTATTTATTTATTTTTACTCATTTGACCTGATTGTACTAATAATCGTCTTTCCTTAATCATTCTTTTATATTACTCAACATGATTACAAGTCGTGTGTGTCTGAGTAAGAATTGGTGAGTGGTTGGATGGCTGTAAAGTTTACATCTTTTATATCGTGTCCTGTCTTGTGTTAAACATGTTTGTAAAACAAAAACTCTTTGTTAATTGTGAATCTGTATTTATTTATGTTGAGGAGAACCTAACTTAGCCTCTGGCTGTTGGCAATCCTCTTTAAATAAATAAAGAATTAAAATTAAGAAAGCTGTTTCATCATAGCAATATTGATTTCAACACTTCAGTTTTTTTAAATTGCACTTCAAAAGTGTAACATGATAAACAGATGTGTTTAATCAATGTGTAAAGTATGCAAAAAACAGCTTATCTGCGGCTTTAAGAATTGTCCACCCCTATACCTGTCTCTACCAAGTTAATAAGTAATTGCTTGTGAAATTCAATTCATACTTTGAACATCTTCTGTCATATCTGGAGTTGTTTGTGTCTGTGCCTTTAGTTGTGTTATATACTCCCATGCTGTTTCCACTATCTCTAATGTACTCTGTAATAAAAGAACAATAAATGGAGAATGTGTCCCCATGGACACAGATGATGCCCCTGCTTGCATACAACATTAAAAAGGGACATAACTCAAGAACGATCAAAGTGACGCTACTCATATTTGTACTTGATCTGAGTTTTGTGGTACTAGGTCTCATAATGTTTGGTTGGGACAAACTTAAGTTACAGAACGGAAACTAAAAATTTAGCAATTTTTCAAATTATAAAGGGGCATTACTCGATAATGATTAAAGTGACGCCACCAAAATTCAACTTGATCTGTATTTTGTGGTAAAAAGCATTGAGTATAAGTTTTATAACATTTGGTTGAGGCAACTTAAGTTAGAGAACGGAAACTCAAAATTTTGCATTGTTTTCCATTTAGAAAGGGGCATAACTCTAGAACGGTAAAAGTGACACCACCAAAAATCAAACTTGATCTGTGTTTTGTGGTAATAAGCATTGTGCATAAGTTATATAACATTTGGTTGAGGCAAACTTAAGTTAGAGAAGGTAAACTAAAAATTTTGTAATTTTTCCATTTATAAAGGGGCATAACTCTTGAACGGTTAGTGGCACCACTAAAATTCAAACTTGATCTGTGTTTTGTGGTAATAAGCATTGTGTTTAAGTTTCATAACATTTGGTTGAGGCAAACTCAAGTTAGAGAATGGAAACCAATTTTTGGACGTACGTACAGATGGACAAGGGTAAAACTTAATGCCCCCTCCGCTATGGCAGGGGCAAAAAAATCTTATAGGTACTAACTGTGTACTGTTATTGAGTATATTAATGTAGATGCTTACAAAACATAAGATTCTTCATTGATTATAGGTACTAACTGGGTACTGTTATTAAGTATATTAATGTAGATGCTTACAAAACATAAGATTCTTCATTGATTCTAAGTATTAGTTTTATTAATTGTTTCAGTGTAAGGTAGATTGTAACAACTGATTATTTATTCCTTTACACCACTTGAATGCACACATCATTATTTTAGAAATGTGAGAAGGTACATTATTTACACCATTTGACATGCCCATGATTTGAAAGATGCAGGAAAGTACATAATATAATCATACACACAACACCTAATTCAAATGCAATTATTTTGTATCAATGGTTCTGATTGGATGACAATCAGAGTACAATTCTCTATCTACCTGTCTGTAACTAAACGAAGCCGACAATTTGAATTCCAGAATGTATTGACATGTTATTTCTCCAATAATAAGCAAATAAAATTCACATTTTACACCTAGAAAACTTAATATTATCAAATTTTATTACATTCTGAGGTGGACAAGAAGCCAGAAAACTTCTGGTGATTATGTTTGACACCGGAAGTAAACCTATGACGTCACCTTGTTTAGGTGCAAAAGAAGATAACATCATTTCGAGGAATTTTTGTTTAATAAAATTTAAGAACGAAATAATGATTAAAATTGAATGATTTGTTTATTTTGCATTTGAATACAGATAACTGTATTGTATTTGAAGTTTTGCAGATGTCCATCAGTAGTTTTACTGTCGCAAGTATCTGTTTACCTGTTTCCACTACGCATTGCCAGGTAAACTCAATTTGGGACAGTAAGACTACTGATGGATGTCCGTAAAGCTTTAAATACAATACAGTATTCTCTTAAATGCATTGTTGAAGAGCGTACGGTGACCTATAGTTGTTAACTTCTATGTCATTTGGTCTCTTGTGGAGAGTTATCTCATTGGCAATCATACCACATCTTCTTATTTTTTCATGTCCAGTGTAAAAGATATGTTGAAGGTGCATGACTAATGATGACTGTGTGGATGTGATGTCATAGGTTTATGACATACTTAATTAAAAGAAAGTTATTGCATTATTAAAATCAATATCTTAACTTGCAATTTGTATGAATTTCTTTTAAAAAAATTAAGCTGGTATAAATACTAAAAATAGACTTAAGGGAGATAAATATGTTAGCTTGTAAATACATTATTGATTGACCTGGTTCTATAAGTGTGGTGTTTGGCCTAATTTATTACTCTTACCCTGCCCATCCGTTCTTTATCAGGACTATTCTCTATAGGTGGTAACAGTTCACCTATCTTATTGATCCAGTAACGGATCTTGTCCTTCCTCTTCTTCTCTATTGAATTGTGGGTCATTCTCTTTCTTGCTTTATCACTGAAAAATTTCAATTTCTAATGTAAATAGAGGAACTGAGGTAATAATGAATAGCATTGCAACGACATGTATATACAAATGTTTGCAGAGTCATTTTACTTATTTGTATACTAATAACTGTCAATGTCAACCAAGTCATATTACTATATATTAAGTTTTTTTTCAAATAGAATATACTACTCAATGAGTCAGGTAAGAAATACATGGTTGAAAACTTGTGTTTTATCTAAACCAAAATAGTATGCAATTACTAAGCATCATTGCACTTTTTTCATTTTGTCTCTGATACAACTCATTTCTTAAAGTTTAACAGTTTACACTTGTAAACAAATCTTTTATTTAAGAAAATTAACTTTTCTGTTTAAAAAAGAAATTTCGTGAAGCTATAAAACTATAATTATGGTAGAAAGGTTTTAAAATGTAATATCTTGGAAAACCATGCATTATAGTTAAATAATGATTAATTTTATCAGGTTTATCAAATTAAATTTACCTGATAAAATTAATCATTATTACTAAATGAAAATTGACAAATGTTACCCATCTAAATGGCTGAATCAATCATTATGCAAGATTTACATCAATCAATCATTGTTATTTTACTTTGCAAATATTATTTAAGGAATGACTGTAATATTTTTTCTGTCTATGAAGAAATAACATCAAAAATGTGGTGCACACTGAATAACCCGCGTAGCGGGTTATTTTAAAGTGTGCACCACATTTTTTATGTTATTTCGAATAGACAGAAAAAATATTACAGTCATTTCTTATAATTTAATTCTAAATTCCATTTTAAACCGGAGTAAACCATAAAAAAACGTTGATGATGTCACTGTCACATGACAAAATTATGTCTATGAGCTGATAAAAAAAACAACGTAAGCCAATCAGAAGACGTGTTACATCCAAAATTAAATTATATAATTATAAATTAATTTGAATACTATTGCTGTGTTTTTTTATTTTTTTGAATATGCTATCTCTTCTTCACCTGAACATGTAAATCTTTGGTTTTAGTCAATACTATATACATGATGGATAGGATTATGTATTTTAAGCTATTCAAATCCATTCCTCTAGTACAACACAAACGAGATTACAAACAGAACATGTAGTATCAACATTTTATTCTTGAGAGAGAAAAAACAAGAAAAGGCAAACATGTTCTTTAAAAATTAATTAATTTCTGGACAGAAATGTTAAATTGATCTATGTGATTCTTTGATATCTTTTGTCTACAGAATCCTAAACCTGGTTGACTTTGTACTATGATGGTAGATGACCCTAACATGTGCCAATACTTGTCACTAAATGATTCCAAGAACTCTAAAATATTGCATAATTACAGAAAAAAAATAGAAAGGAAGTATAAATAAAAGAATAAAATATGAAAATATATTATATTATTCTTTACATTTTCATTACAGAATTAAAGTTGTTAAAAACAAAACAGAAACATACAGGTACATTTACTGACAAACTCATTCAGATTAGTGTAGAATGTGTAGGATGAGAGATAATGTCTTAATCTAAGTCATCAATAAAGCCACTCATTTGTACATGTATACTGAAGTGACAGAATTATACATATTCATCAGCTATAAATGATCACACTGTATTTGACTTACATAGTATCGTCTTCTGCTTGTACAATATATAATTGTGCTGACTCATCTATATCCCCATTCATATTAATTAGTTTTGCTACATTATCTGTTCCTGTATGTATAAAAAGATTATTAATTCTTTGAAGAAGAACCCTTTTGTTTACCATATATGTTTCATAAGTTTTTTTTTTAAATAATAAATGGTGTTTAAGATTAGTAATGTTTTCATCCATAAATTAGCAGGACCAATAGCAATCAAGCTGTTAAGAAACAGAAAACCTTGTACATATTTGATAAAAATACCATATTGCCATACTTTGTTTGGCATGTTTGGAGCCAAGTATCCACATTTTGATTCAATTGTGAAAAAGATTTTTTGTTCTTCAAAACTCCACAATATGATTAAGTGACTTATAAATGAAATTTGACATATTAAAGATTATTCTGACAATTTCTATTTTTAATCAAACTATTATTTCTACACAATATTCCTTTTTAATGAACTGAAATTTGTATAGCTTTACATGTACATGTATTTTCTTTTGAACATTTCTCCAAATATTTAATAAATATATTATATCTTTAAACATTTATGTACTGTAATTCAGAAATTATTGCAAGATTTTTATTAATTCGAACAATGCAACTGGGTCGGTATCCCAATAATAAGAACTTGCATTCTGATATCTGATATATCGATCTCTATACAGATTTCCTGAAATCGCAATAATTTTAATCGCATTTTTTTCACATTCATCAAAAATCACAATAATAAATCCACGCAATAATTTCTGAATTAACAGCAAATGAATGTATTTTCTCTAGGGATGAAATAGATGTTGCTGATGATCATGATGATTGGTTGTTATCTTTTTATCAACAAATATGTTTATTATCAATTACATTTTCATTCAAACTTGTTATTCTATTAAATGTGTCTTAATTACAGGAGTGCCTTCTCTTGTGGAATGACAGACGGACTCCTTCTTAATTCTTTGAAAAGTTGGTCTAGCAAAATAAATTTGTAAAATTCTGTCTTCTTCCCAAGTATTTACAAAAAAAAAGTATTGGTAAGGTTGAATATTAGTCCTTGATAAAAACATAATGCTAAATACATGTTTAACTTAGTCCCTGACGTGATGAAGTCATTAATTATTTGAAATGTCTTTTTTACATGAATCTGATCAATTATGTGTTTGAAAACAATCAAAGGGACAAAGGAATTCCAAATTCATTCCAAAACTACTTCAACATGCCATGACACAATTTTCTACATTTTCTTAATTTCTCAGGAACATGAGTCCTTTATTCATGTGTTATTTGGACCTGTGAATTTTACTTTACATCTGCAACTTTATTAAAATGGAAAGATATGTGGGAGCTGACTTTTATCTTAAATCATCATTTAAACAGAGAAACTAGATCTATTATAAACGAGGTTGTATATAAAATATCCAGCATGCAATGTTTTGCCAATTATCAGCCGATCGAGATTCAGAAGATGTGTGATGACATGTTGCATTTTGTTACATGTCACTTCTCGTTGACAAATTGTATCAATAACAGGGATCACCATAACTTATTGTAGTATGGAGGTACTAGCGTGGCGTACTGCCACGCTTATTTTGTTGTCCGCCACACTTCAAAAATCAATAGATTGTAGTTAATTCCCGGATAACCATAATCCAATTATCATGTCTGTGGCAATTAAATGAATGCATAGCTGGACCACTATTCTAGAATATCCTTGGGAAAACACTGCCTGTAAAAGCAGACTTTACAGATGTAACTGTCTTGTAAATAAAATTCCTTTCTCTCTGTCAGACTGAAATTGGTTCCCCTGGCCTCTATTGTAAAGATTAAATTGTCATAGGACAAAAAAATCATACATAACAGTCTAGTAATTCCTTTTATAAGCATTATTACTTAAAGGGACAGCCTAACTTGAAAAGAAATCAGCCTATTCTGTCAGTTAATTTCCTTTTTTAAACTGTGTAATGGGTCAGGTATATATTATTGAGGAGCAGCTAAATGTATCTGCCATTTTGAACAATTTGAGAACATCTACACATATAATGTGTACTCTTCGTAAAATCAATTTCTGGTGCTAAAAATGTGTTGAATTTAAATGTTTTACTTTTTAATGTCTAACCTTTAAACTTTTATATACTATTAACCTTTTTCACCTTAAATCACCCCCGGTTTAGTCTTTAGTTTTCTATGTTGTGTTTTAAGGTACTGTTGTTTGTCTTTTCATCGTTTTTTTGCCATGGCTTTGTCAGTTTGTTTTGGACTTAGGAGTTAGAATATATCCCTTTGGAATCATTCGCCTCTCTTTTTCAACATTTTATGATGTAAAAATATCCAATAAAGTTGTGTGCAGCAGTGTTGGCCAAGACATTTTTGTCATCACATACATTTTTGTACTTAGTGAGCTAAAACAACAACACCTTTGTGATAAAAATAAAAAAAGAATCATTGAAAACCCTATGTAGGTTAGCTTCATGAGAACCACTGTAATGTTTTTTTTTTCTTTTAAAAAAACCTTGAGATACAGTGATACTTAACCTATTTTCCTCATGGGAAAATCTCTTTTTTACTTTAGTGTTAGACACTTTCTATAGATGACTTTCGAATTCGTGCACTTTCTTGTAAATTTCCTACATCACAATATTTATGTTGTTACGTCACAGTAAGAACCGATTGTTCGATGACGTTGTTTACACCGATTGACCTCAGGTCAACCGGTGTAACTCATTCATAAAAAACAACTTGCGATCGGTGTATTGTGACCTCAAATTTTACCAGAACACCTGTAATATTCAGTAATACTAATAAACCAATTTCAAGTTCTTTTTTTTGTGTAAATGGGCTTATGCTGGTACAATGTATACCCAAATTCAATCAGCGCAAATTACGTCATCGAACGGTGAGCTGCAAATGAGAGGTTATAATAAAAGCCTTGTGACATAGGCTTGATATATACTGGCAGACTTACTGGAAAATGGGGGAAAATGCACAAATTTAAAAATTCACTATGGCGATGTATGTCCTCCCTAATTGATTGTATTTGTGAGTTTATTTCAGCACAAATATGGAGGACAAAAGAGTGAATTAGAGGCAATATCTATTTAACATTCAAAGGGTTCAAATTTCATCATGAAAGATACATTACAAGTTGTATATCTGTGATGAATCAAGTGCACTCACTGACACTAGCCATTTGAACTTCATGCATAATTTTAATGAATGTGCAAAACATGTACCTTCAATTGTTGGATAAGAACATTTATTAAACGGTTATTGTGTATCATAAATAAATTGGAGAGTTTCTCATAACAGGGACAAACAGATGACAGTGACAGCAACCAGTTTTTGTTTACCAGGTCAAGTCACCTTTGTTGACGTACAAATTTAAGATGTGAAGCCCTACTTTTGACATCTTACCATTGTTATCGCTCATTTCAAAAGGTAAGGAATAGGACTAAACATTGTTACTACTACTTTTAACAATGGTTTTGACAAAATCAACCCATTTTTGAACAGCTACAATATTTGGGAAGCCATTTCATTTTGGAAGCCGCCATTTTCAGTCATGACGTCATTCATATGCAGATCAGCCTCGTTCTAATAATGGGATCGCCCTCCTTTCATGGAATTTCCTTCGTAAGATTTGACTGATTACCTTAAAATTTTACACCGAAGGGGAAGACCACAAATCCATTGACAGACTATGTTTTTAAACAAAAAGATAAGAATTATTTGTCAATAAGACTAATATCCAATAATTAAAGACAAAAGAAGAATGAAATTAATTTGAACACTATTGTATATAGACGTATTTACACTTGTATGCAAATTTGTCCGCCATTACGTAAAATCACACAGGTTCCCGTAAACTTTGACGTCACAATTAAAAAGTGATTGTTGCCTGACGTCAAAAGGTGATTCGGAGTAGATATAAGGTCATTCGGAGGCAAAATATAGCTAAATACCAAAAGTGTAAATACGTTTATTGCTGTATATGTAACATAAAATATTGTCCCCCATGAAATATTGTCCGTCGGACAAAATTTCATAGAAAATATTGTCTGCGGACACTATTTCATTATGAAATACTGCCCATGACAATTTTTCATTATGAAATAGTGTCCTTGTCCATGAAATTTTGTCACCTCCTTCTGGACAATATTTCACTATGAAATTCTGTCCATGACAATATTTCACTATGAAATACTGTCTATTATGACATTGATTTCTTGTGAAATTCTGTCCATGACAATATTTCACTGTGAAATACTGTCCATGAAAATATTTCTTAATCAAACTATCACAAAATTAAAAATAGTACACAAGCATGCACATTTTTAGATTTATAGCTGAAATTATTTTGTAAAGTAAGTATTTTATATATATCAAACTAATATTTATTTTAACATAAGCTAGTTTAAAATTTGCATAGATACTTTATAATTGGTTAATTATAGATTAAAGAATTATCTAACGTATGTTCCATTTTACTCAGTACATTATACTGTATAAATATAAGTAATGTACTGACAATCCCGGCTTATTTATATTCAAAATTGAATGTACTAATAGTATTCGTAAATACTAGATTGACGAATCATTTTGCGACTGCGTTTTGGCAATGTAACTGGAATATTAATTTGTGTTTATTTGTTAATATCAGTCAAATAAAACACTTTAATGATATCATTATCCAGCATAATATCTGTTGATAACCTCCCCTTCATTAGACAAAATTTCATGACAATCTGTCTATGAAATGTTGTCTCAATACACACAAAATATAACCTCCCTTTAACAGGACAACATTTCATAGTATTTATCTGTGAAATATTGTCTATATACAGACAACAGTTGACTATGGAAATTTGTCCTACTCTGGACATTTTTTCATAGATGAGGACAATATTTCACGATACATAGTCATATGAAATATTGTCTTGGAGGACAATATTTTATACGGGACAATATTTTGCTTTACATATATATTCAAATTCCAATCATAGGCGGATCCAGGGGGGGGGGCTGGGGGGCCCGGCCCCCCCCTTTCGTGGGAAAAATTTGGTTGATTATATAGGGAATCACTGAAGCGTGACTGGAGCGGGCCCCCCTTACAAAAAGTTCTGGATCCGCCACTGCCAATTCTTTGTTTTCCTTATCACAGGGACCTTTCGGGCATTACAAAATTTGAAACGGTCATTCACACTTTCATACCATCCTTTCTCATTCCGCTCACTCGGACTATGTTAATTAGATAGAGTACCGTAGAACATACATAAAAGTTATCATAAAATATAAAACATTTAATTCCAGTTCTGAATAAAGAGAGATAACTCTGATTGTTATAATTACATTTTCTTTTTTTATCAAATCAAATCAAATCAAATATTTTATTGTCGTATAAACTTTAGTTTGTGACCAACATGTATTAACACAATAAACATATATACATACATATCAAACAAACACAATAAAAACAGCATCAAAATTTATAAAAACAAACAAGCTGTTAAGAGTCCCCTGCCCTCAGTTCTAAGGACTTTTTCAAGAAGGATCCTAACTTATTTGTTTGTAAAGGCGTTGATGGATTTAGTAAATAATGAATTTTTTCTTCTTCATTTAAATTATTAAAGTTATTATTTTCAGTACATATGTGTTCAAAAAAGGCATTTCTTAGTGTTTTATTATAATCACAATAGAGTAAAAATGTTTCTCATCCTCTAGTATTTTACATTTATGACAAAGTCGTTCCTCTCTTGGGATTTTATCAAGTAGACGATCATTATAATTGAGTACACTTATGCTGTTTTTTCCCCAGCAAAATTAATCTTTAAAAATTCACACAATAAAGATAAAAATGTGTCGTCTTCATTCATCATTATCCATATAAACAAGTTATTTATACTAAGACGGTTATATTTAGGACATTGAAGTAAAAAATGTACCTCGTCCTCTACTTGGTTTAAATCACAGAACTGACAAATCCGTTCACATTTGGGTAATGGTTCTAGTTTTCCAAGAGAGTTGTATTTTCTCTCACGTCTTCCAGTTTCTACCCTTAGAAAATGATTACTTATTCTGATTGTAGATAGCATTGACCTATTATATCTTTATTTCTTGTTTCTAAATATTTTTTCAAACTGGAATGTAGCCTTAGATTTAAAATAAGTGTATAATTTGCCTTGGTTATCAGGTGTAGAATCTTTTATACTTTTCCAGAATTTAAGAAAACCATCTTTTAGCCGTCTTTTTTTATTAGTACTGTAAATTTGGTTTTACTAAGATACTGTATTTACAATATTGAATAATAATAACAAATAGATTAACATCAGAAGCAGAAGGTAAGAAACGGAAGATACTGGTGATCTTATTTACTCTCGACGCAGAAAAGGGTTTTTGATAACCTGAAATCCTATTCAATAAACTGTACAGTTATGGGATAAAAGGGAAACTGTGGATACTTATAAGAAAACTAGGCATAGACATATATACACAGGCATGAGTATTAAGATAAAATGGAAAGGACAATACACAGAAGAGGTTAGTGTACTACAAGGAACACAACGTTATGAACTACGCTTTACAAATGCCATAACAATGTGATACTAGATAGTATTGTAAAAATTGGCTTAGGAGCAAGTATTGGTGATATACACAGGGGCGGATCCAGCCATTTTAAAAATGGGGGTTCCCAACCCAGAATAAAGGGGGATTCCAACTATATGTCCCCATTCAAATGCATTGATCGTCCAAAAAAGGGGGGGTTCCAACCCCCGGAACCCCCTCTGGATCCGCCACTGTATACAAGTCCCAGTACCTACATGTGAAGATGGTATTGCTGTCCTAGCAAATAGCATAGACGATGCACAAGGAATTCAGAATATAGAACAGCACCATGCACACAAAATCAAATCGAATAAAAAAGTTTAAAAGGCAAAATAAAGTACGCAATAGAAGAACATTGAGGACCAAATACTCCGAAAGGTTTTGCCAAATACAGCTAAGGTAATCTATTCCTGGGGTAGGATTTTTAGTATTTCGAAAAAAATTAAGTTTTGTAAACAGTTAATTTATAACTATGATCATATCAATGATATTTCATGTCAAAACAGAAGTGCTGACTACTGAACTGGTGATACCCTCGGGGAGAAAACCAATAGTTGTAAATAAAATCATCATAGATACCAGGATTAACTTTATGTACGCAAGACGCGCGTTTTGTCTACAAAAGAATCATCAGTGACGCTCGAATAAAAAAGTAAATAAAGGCCAAATAAAGTACGAAATTGAGCATTTTGACCCAAACTTTACGAAAGGTTTTGCCAAATACAGCAAAAACAGAGTTTAATTCAGCTCAGTTTATGATTCCTTTGGCGTTTTTAGTTGTAGTATCAGCGCCGCTCCCATAAAATCTTTAACGGTTCGGTACGTTTTCAACCCTGTATACCACCATTCCCCATGTGAAATTATAATTTTGAAAATACTTTGAACGACAAAATTATTTTATATTTCTTCCTGTGTGACGTTTACATTTTCTGGCGTCAAACACGCAACTCTACACTAAGAGTAGATGTGAATGCAGTCACAGGACGTTAAATATTTCAATCCTTTATGGGTTGATTTATAATGCATATATAAGTAAGCAATGAATGTGGTTGTTAAATTTGATAGATGCTTTTTGTGCTTCTTTGTTAAATGTTTGTTTGTTTTGAGATTGTGACAGTGATGACTGCTGTACCCATATTTTGACAATGTTATCTATTATGTCTGTTTTGTTCACGCATCGTTGTAAATATAATGGAATTTGATGCGACTGTCATACAAGTGAGAGGTTTAGCGCTCTAAAACCAGGTTCAATCCACCATTTTCTACATTTGAAAATGCCTGTACCAAGTCAGGAATATGAAAGTTGTTGTCCATTCGTTTGATGTGTTTTATCATTTGATTTTGCCATTTGATTAGGGACTTTCCGTTTTGAATTTTCCTCGGAGTTCAGTATTTTTGTGATTTTACTTTTTGGCATTAAATGCTTCTAAGGGAAAAAGGTGATCCGGACCTATTAGAGAGAAAATTGACGTCTTGGACCTTCTACTACAAAAGTCGTCTTCCCGAACGCTGCTTTCGATAATATCGTCATGGATGTCACGCAACAAATTAGCAACAAATGTTCTAAATGTAAAAAAAATGGCGTTGATCAATTTGTTATCTTCAAACAAGCAAATCACAAACTCGTAGTAGTTTTGAAACGACAGCAGATCTCGTACACAACAATTTTTTTTCTGTTTTATACATTTTATTGAGTCCCTTTATAATATATTTATACGTGTAGTCTTCTTTTTCAAAATCATTAGGAACGATAGATATACTATTTATAACCGTCACCGACGCTGTCGTTGCTTACATTCGTACTTTCTGCAGATACCAAGTCGTTTAGTCTGGTAAGTGCTTTGTACAGCTTCTCGTTGATGTTTTTATAGATCAGGTAGATAGTCCGATACAACGAATAAATATTGCTTTATTAACCTCACTGGAAATCGCATTGGAATCCAAATCGCCAAAACAACA